ATTCAGCAAAGCGTAATTAAGCAGAAATGCTTAAAAATCTGCAAGCCCGTTTCCTTTGAAGAACTATGGAAAACTGCCTTCCAGCTCGAGACCTAATTCAAGAATTATCCACCATTCTGCATAGTCTTAAGTTTTAAAATAAAATGATCCTTATGGGCTAAAAACTAGTAAAAATTCAGGCCTCGGGAGACTAAAGGGAGTCGATGCAATGTCACCGTCTACTAAGTGACCTTTGTGTAAACTTCAGGTTTGGTTTGTGCTGAATGAGGTGGATAATACTATACAAAGAAAAGTCTTGATCTCTGGTTCATTGATCTAAGCAAGATATTATCTTGTGTGGATTTCATAAATAATTGCATTTGATATAGCGCCGTTATGTCGGGAGGACGCCTCAATACGCTTCACAGGGTCGACTGTAAAGTGCAGGGATTGCATACACTGTAGGCGAACGTAGTCAGTTTCCTCACAGCAATGTCCCACAAACAGTCAGAACAAACGCAGACAAACAGATTTCAGCTACATTTACGCATGTCAGCATTTTGGTCCAGTTTCAAGTTTCTTTTCTTCTGATAAGAGCGATTTTTATCAAGTGTCCGATTGAAGAATCGAGGCTATGAGAGACTGCTGTGTGTCAGTCTCTCATAGCCCCTCTGTGTATCAGGCTCGGCATCTTTTGCACTGACATGTTGGTATTCACCGAGTGTGAGGAAGCTTCTGGGGATGTGCCCACCACACTTGTTGGGTATAGGCACTTGGAAGCCTCTTGTGACAGAGCATTTGTCACGGTTGAATGAAACCTTTTTGGAAAGGCTCCCTCTCTCAATAGTCAGTGAATTATTTTCCAGATTGTTAGCAGATCAGTCAAGACCCCTTTTTGCTGACACCAAGACCAATAAATGGTTCTAGCCTAGGGACTGGATTATGAAATGACCACCTTCTATTGATAGCTTGTCACCCTCTCTTCCTTCGCTCCACTTATAAAGATCCAGTGGCCCAAACTTCCATCTTCTACAATTACACACTTCACAGTAAAATCTTTTCAAGTGCTTTGAGACGTCTCAACGACCAGTGATAAGGTACTACATCAAATGCTTTCTTACCTTGTAAGGCCACTTGGTCTTAAAGTTTAAAATGATGCACAATGGAAGAAAAACCTTTGATTCAGGCTTAAGTCCACTCTGGCCTGCTCCACATCCTCCGCCCTCTCTGCCCTACCAATGGACGGGAGAACTTTCACCTACTTTGCATTTTCTGTCAGGAACTTTCTCCCTGAATCCCTCCACTGAACTCCCTCCCTCAAATCCATGTCTCCTGCTTTGACTGCTATGCCTTTCAGCCACTGCCATCTCCTCCCCAATCTCTCACCCTGCTTGGGTTTCCCCTCCATCCCTCTGTAGCACTCGAGACTCCCGTGTGAAAAGTGCTGCACATCTGCAAATTCTTGTTAATCCTGAAGTCATTTTTCTACATTCTTGAAGAGAACCAGCTTCCAAATTAAGACGAGATAGAATTCCGGGCATCTGAAGTGTTTGCTGATTTTTATATCAAGTTTTGAATTTATTTTATTCAGGTTCGAACCCCAATTATGCTTCCTCCCCCACACCCAGTCCCTGACCAGCACCGCTTTCTTCCACCTCCGCCACATTGCCCGTCTCCGACAATACCTCACCCCAAAAGCTGCTGAAATCCTTGTCCGTGTCTTTGTCACCTCTCAGCTGGACGACTCTAACCCCCTCCTCACTGGTCTCCCCTCCTCCGCTAGTCAAAAAATTCAGCTCATTCAAAACTCCGCCAGCAGCATTCTCACCCACACCAAACTTCATACCCCGATTACTCCAGTCCTTGCCAAACCACTGGCTCCCTGTCACAGAGCGGATCCACTTCAACATCCTCACTCTAGTGTTTAAATCTCTCCATTCCTTGGTACCACCTTATCTCTCTAACCTCTCTCCCCACAGCAGTACCCGCTGCTTCCGCTCTACTGTGTCCGGCCTCCTCCACCTCCCCCAAATCCCCTGCTCCACCTTCGGCGGCCGTGCCTTCAGCCACTATGCCCTGAAATTTTGGAACTCCCTCCCTCAACCCCTTCACCTCGTTCCCTCCTTCCCCATCTACAGGTCGCGCCTGAAGACCTTTTTCTTGACCGCGCCTATGGTCACTTTCCCCCTCCCTCTGGCTTGGCCTTGGCCTTGCCCTCCGCCATTGATAAGCTCTGAGACGCCGCCCAGCGTGGAGGGCACTATATAAATGCAAGTTGTTGTTGTTTATTCCTCAGATTGCAAATTTCTTGAACCATCAGAGATTTAATAATGATTTGATTTGAAGTGCTCCGGGATGCTACCCCTGTGAAGAGCGCTGTATAAATCTGTATAAATGCAAGTTGTTGTTGATTTGGAATTTTAAGAAGAAAAAGGGGTTTCTCCTGGTGCTCTGGCCAACAACCCCAGATAAACTCAATTGTTTCCTTTCACAACTTTTCGCAAGATCTCGCTGAATTAACGTCCTGCTCCAATCAAATGCCGGCCCCAGGTTTAGCTCCAATGCATCATTTGTATTAACACCAGCGGAAATAAATGCGAGTCGTTGTTCAAAATAATACACTTGTTCATTTTGTTGCAATTCTGCTGTAAAGTTGCAACCGATGCAGATTTGAATCTACACTGTTAAAGTATAGTTCTGTCTCCTGCTTAGAACCGTTTTTTGCTCAATCATCATGTGACACAAACAGCAGGAAGAGAGGGGGACAGTTTCCACATTAACGTAGAAAGTGAGGTAATGTGATTGGTTTAAAGTCTATTCTTTTTTCTTTAAGAAAGGAGACTAGGATGCAAAATCAGAAATAGCATGCTTAGAATTTCCATTTTACACCACTCAATAAATGTACAATGCACCAAATTCCTCCACCAAGCACGAATTTGCCATTCTTTTATACTCGTGTCAAATGGTGCTCTCGATGGCAAGCTACATGGTTAAACGCCAGCGTCATCCCAACACATACTCTGGGGTGCCAAGCCATGCCTCTTGGCCAACTTGTGCCTATTACTGCCTGGAATTTGGTAAGCAGGGTGCATCCATCCAAGCAGAGAATGAGCGTTCCATTCCAGACATGGCAACATTTCCTTGTGAAACTCTTGACTGGTTGGGGAGAGGAAAACAAGATTGCATTTTCTAGAAACCCAGCTATGAATTTTGGAAGATTCTAAATGGTGATCTTATGGCTCAGACTATGTGAAATTTCAGATTGTTGATCATTATCTCTTGTTCCTCTTCTCACCCCAACTCCGTCCCATCCGGCCACCCCCCCCCCCCCCCCCTCCTCGCGCTGAAATGTGCATTGTGCAGTGTTATTCGCTGGTGGTATCTCTGGGACATTCACTGCCTAGTCTCGGACTTGAAAGAATGGCTTCTCGGATGAAGTATTATGCCTGAGGAATGGACCTCCAGCACAGAGTAAGCTATTTCAGTGAGAGAGATGAAGTCAGTACAATATTACTGAAGGACTTTGAGCAATGACTCCAGACAATAATGTATTAAAAATCCAGCCAAGGGTTTGACATTCAGTTGCCATGACATTCCATTCATCGCTGAGTTCACTAACACCAGTTTACAGTCTTGTGGATTGCATGGGCCAATGTTTCAGTGGAGACTGTGTACCAGACCCATAAAGGAGAATCCATAATTTATTTTCACGCCACTTTATGGCTCTCGCCTTAAAAATAGCTCTCCTTTCTTATGCTCGTGAAAATCACTTGGCAACTGTCTGCGCTTGTGGACATGTGGGTTCCAACACTATGGCGTGTATGATCAGACCTTATTTATTTCCATTAAAAAGTGAGCTTTAACTGGCCAAAATTATCAGCAGTTTCTTTATTAGAATCCCATGGCTGTCAAGTGGTCAGAGATTGGTTCGAAGAAGTTTTATTTCACGCTGGCTTGTGCTGTGCCATTTCCATTTAAAATGCCCTGACACCGAAGGGCTGTGTAGTCCATTGTACAAGTACCAACCAAGGCCGTTGTACTCGGCTCTGGAAAAGGCAATTGGCACATTCACACACTTGTGCTGGTGACATTAAGTTAACCCTTTATTCTTTTTCTATTTTGTTCACCTGCCATCAAAACTCTTCAACTGTAGTGAGCATTTGTCAGAGATGCTAAACCTGTTCATGGGGTCGTTGCTGGAAAAGAGAAGGGAATTTTCTCTCCTTTTATCCTAACCAACAATCCTCCAGGCAAGTTGGTCTGACACTAACATAGCTGCTTGTTGGGTCTTGCTATAAGCAAAATAGCTGCTAAATTTGACTGCCGATAGTCACTGTTCTCACTAACAATTCCCTGTGAAACTTGTCCGAGGAGCTGGGATGCAAGGATTATTTATGTAACTATGATATTTGAAACAGATGGTGTTCTGCTGACCTGTTGACTTGCATGGTACCAATGGTGATCTGGGTGCAGCTGAAATGCTCTTTGACTTTAGTATTTTGAAGGCGTGCTCAGAGGTTAATTCCATTTGGTGGCTCGCAAGTGTAGAATACAGAGGAGCATGCATCCCTCTTGCACATGCAAACCTGAGCAGAAATCCCATCTTTACTCACTGAATGACTTCCCACTTTGCTCCATGTTATGACACGAACAAATGACGATGATCAGTTTTTCAGGTCAACAAACCTGTTATCAGTCATGTACGTCGTAGGCTTTTCAAGAAATACACAGAAGCTGCAGAGCAAAAGGACATGTGTTAATAGATAGGAGATGGGGATAGGGTGTGAGGGGAGGTGGGCAAGGATATTCTTGTAGAATGTGGCGAACAGCTGGAATGGGTTTCCAAGATGGGGGCACTGAGGCTATTTAAGGAACGACTTAATGTAATAGAAAGATGGTAGTGTGGGTATTCTTGAGGGACACGATCGAATGGGTCGAAGAGTCTTCTTTGCCCCAAATCTCTGTGATATTTATTCAAGTATGTTTTTCCACTCAAGCATTTTTCTCTTTCCCCCCCTTAGAGACTTGATGCCGAAAACTCTGGATGGACAAGTCACCATGGAGAAAACGCCCAGTTACTACGTGACCAAGGAGACGCCTCCTCGTATCCACGCAATGTCCAAGGACGCCAAGCTGATTGTGGTGGTCCGTGACCCTGTGACTCGTGCTATCTCCGATTACACTCAGACTCTCTCCAAAAAGCCCGATATCCCCAGCTTTGAGAGCTTGACCTTCAAAAACAGGACTACAGGCCTGATTGACACCTCGTGGAGCGCCATCCAGATTGGCATCTATGCCAAGCACCTGGAGAATTGGCTGCAGTACTTCCCCATGCGGCAGATCTTGTTTGTGAGCGGGGAGAGGCTCATCAGCGACCCAGCCGGAGAGCTGGGCAAGGTGCAGGACTTCCTGGGGCTGAAGAGAATCATCACAGACAAACATTTCTACTTTAATCAGACCAAGGGCTTCCCCTGCTTGAAGAAGCCAGAGGGCAGCAGCAAACCCCACTGCCTGGGCAAAACAAAAGGCAGAACCCATCCCAACATTGACCCCGAGGTGGTTCAGAGGCTCAGAGACTTTTACCGGCCTTTCAACATGAAATTTTACCAAATGACGGGTCAGAACTTTGGCTGGGACTAAGGTGAATGGAACCTCATGTAATTACTATAAAGACATGTGAATTTATTGCGCTATATATATTATATATATGTAACTTGTACAGAAATCTATTTTATAATAATTTATTTTTAATTCTTAAGCAATTAATTCACTAAGCTGCCTAACCACATTGTACACTGTATATAGATCAGCCGTGAAATTGTCTTCTAACATTCCTCAATGATTAGTTATATTTGCTCATTGATGATGCTGTCACACATCCTATTAAGAATTAATATCCAAAAGCACAATTTTTTTTGTTACGGGTATTCAGCGTTTGTTGGGTGTGTAAGCGGGGCCTTTGGTCTTTTCGCCTGGCTGTGTGGGTTTGAAACAAAATAATACGGTCCAAAATTCACACCAGGAATGTGCAAGCTCAATCACTCAGTCAAAACACAAATTGCACATCTCTGTTAAGGATAGAACCAACCGTCTGAATCTCCACAACATTGGGGGGGAAAAAAAATCCACCCACTTGCTGGCTTTTTTAAACCAATAGTCAGGAGGTCCCAGACTGGTAAGGGGATTAGAATCCTGGTCCAGTGCCTGAAACCTCCCTTGGATTCTCTGCGCCATTCAAGATCACAAAGATGGAAGTTCTATTTGTAGCTGAACTGCATTGATAAGCTGATGCTCTTTGGTTTTGTTGAACTCACTGAGAAATACAGAACTGCACTTGGTATTGGATACATGCATTGATAATCTCTCCTCGCCCACTCTAATGTAATTGTACATTCCCATCATGGGTGACGATCAGTTCGATCTGTGACTCCTCTCAGCCCTTGAATCCCCACATCTCTGCAGCAAGGTGCTTTCAGTCACCAATGGGGGGCAAGACTACCTAGAAAGCGCCTTCACTGTTGAGCTGTCCACCCTGTCATTGACTGCTTCTGGACATTGCAGTGCTGTTTCAGTCCAGGGAGAGGCTTTATTCCTTTAGAGCATAGCTACATACAGTCAACACACCTCACAGTAAATCCTGTAAAGTGCTTTGAGATGCTCCCATGACATGTTAAAACGTTATATCAAATGCAAAGATTATTATTGCTCAATCCTTGCCAAGTGGTCATTCTGTTATTGCTGTAGACTGTGCCCAACACATGAACCATGCTAATCCCAACCCCACGGTCCTGTTGCGTTAGTTCAAATCACTGCCCTGCTCATCCAAAGGGCAGCTAATTCAATCCACCCTTTCAGTTGTCTCAGCTGTAATGGCACCAATCTAGTGAAGCTAGGTAGATTTATTGTTCACGAACGAAGCACAATTTTTGTTAAAACTCTCTCACTGTGTAGCCTATCTGCTTTAACGCGTGCGTTCAGGCATTTCTTTCTTTGAAGAAAGCAGAACGCCGTGTGGTCAACAACCTTGCAAATGAAGTGTTAAAACTGACGTTCTCTGGAACATGGCTGTCAAACATCTGATAAGCACAGTAGCAAAGTGCTTCCTTAGGCAGCTTTGCAATGAAATGCTTTACACATTGTCTACCTGAGCAGTGGGGCTGCATCACCAATCCATTGTCATCCAATGTAAATTGTAAGTGACTGTTCTCAGAATTAATCACACAAAATAATAAAATGATAATAATAATGTGGTCACTTCAATCCACGACTGTTTGTGGGACGCTGCTGTGCGCAATCGGCTGCCGGGTTTTGCCCACAAAATTTAGTCATTTCACTTTCCAGTACATTCTGTGAAGCGCTTTGAGACGTCTCGAAGACGTGATAAGACGCTATATCAAATGCAAGGATTATTATTATTTATTATCCAAAAAATCCATTTATATCTCAAAACCGTGGTTAGCTAACAATCTGTGATAACTGTGTATGGCTGAGTTTAATTCAGACTGCATTCAAAAGTACTGATATTAGCAACTTTCATCTGATAATATTGTACTTTTAGAATAGTTAACGTGTAAAATAAAAATGTAAATCAAGTATTTTGTGGTATGTACAACAAAAAATAATTTTACAGATAAAAATGAATCTTTCTAGGAAATTGGATAAAACTTCTTGCTGTTTCTTGTTATGCAGAAATGAATAAAATATATTTTACCAAACTGACAGTCTCCTCCTTTCGACCAAGATGTGTTTGTTTTAAAAGTAAATCTCGTTCAAAGATGGAATAGTCATGGGTTATTTGCCTACACTTAAACAACCACTACACTTTATGGTAAAAGCCTGTGAAGCGTTTTGAGACGATTCAATGATGCAATAAGGCGACAACAGAGGCAAGGAAAGATTATTGTGTTTGGAATGTGGATTTGGCTTGATCCGTTTGTGAATTGGCTGCCACGTTTGCCTACAAATTCATGTTCACCCCACAATAAAATCCTGTGAGACATCTCGACTTTATAAGGTGCTATGTCAAATATGAGGATTATTATTATAATAATTCTCTGCCACAATTAACAACTGATTCAGAGTCTGTCAATTATTTTAAAGTATATAGATGCTTGAAAAGGGGGAATATTGAATGATGTGGAGAGCAAGAAAAGTGGATTAGATTAGGTACCTCAGAGAGAAAAAGAAAATAAAAGGAAACTAATAAAAAATTTCAAAAATTATGAATGGTTTTGATGGTGTAAATCGTGGGAGACTATCTCCACTGAACGGCCGAATGTTTATTTCTGTGTTGTAACATTCTATGATTCCAGATTAATCATGTGAGGTGTGATCTGTTTGCTTGCAGTGTGGTCAGAGTGTTGCATCCTTTATCAGAGAGAGAGAGAGAGATTCAGGATTAAGAATCTGAACATCAAGTTTCTAAAGGTTACTCTCCCCCCTTTCAGCACTTGTCATTTTCACCAGTTTTTAAGTCACCTCAATAATTGATTATAGAAAGCTCCGACACAGAAGGAGACCACTTGGCTCATTGTATTAGTGCTTTAGCTAGCTCCATTCTGGTGATCTCTGATCTAATCCCATTCCACTGCTCTTTCCCTACAATTTTTTTTACTCCTATGTGAAAATGTAGAACACTCTGCCCCAGAAAAGTGTGGAGGAGGAATACGTAGGGATATGTAGAAGAGACTTTTACCTGGTCAGTAAAAGTATGAAGAGGTATAGCGAAAGATTGGGGTATTGGGATTAAATGATCTGCCAAGACCTAATAAATGGTGGAACATGCTCAATGACCTCTTTCTGTTCCTGATTTCCTATCTCCTTGACTGTCCAGTACTGGGACGTGCTCCCGACATGAAAGGCGTGATACAAATGTAATTTGTTTTGTTGTTGTCCTGGGAAGATCTGTAAGTGACCAGCGGAGAAAGATATTGCCCACGCTATTCTGGTAAACGTTTGGCTATTCCTGGTTGTATGAATATCTGGACATTTTTAGATTTACTTCTAGTTAACCCTTGCAGGACAAGAAGACATTTCCAGCTGTCAAAGTGGACGCCATTCTCCATCCCATTTGTGCGAAAGTATTTGTCAGTTTCTAACAATAACTTTAATTGAAGTAAAATTCGAAAGACTGAAACCAACGAAACTTTCACGGTATTTCCAAATAATTAAAATAAAAAATCGACTAAAACTCCAGCTGTATTTCATCAGTGTGGTTCCCGCGGGGTTATTAACGAACATTTACTGGAGCACAGAAACAAATGTATTCGGGAGCCTGATTTACAATAACAGGACAATTAAAGAATACATTCAGAGCTTTGTGTGTTTATACTGGCAAGACTAAAAGTTTTATAAATAATTAACAGATTAGTATTTACAACAAGGTGTGTGCTGAAAATCCAGACAATTTCTTACGCATACACACTGATTAGTTGGTACAGACTTGAGGGGGTGGGGGTAGTGTGTGTGTCTGTTGGTGGGGGGAGAGTGAGGGGGTATTGGGGGAATCTCATTGGGAGAGATCAGTCCTTTACAGATGTTGAAGGGACATAACTCTGAATGTAATCTGTTTATGTTTGACACAGACACTGAAAACAGCACCATACTCTGATCCTCAGGACTAATTTAGTTTTTGGGGATATTTTTATTTACAGCACTGCACTATACATCATTTAATCCATCAAGCTTGTTCTATATCACCAGGTCTAACCTCATGCTTAAAATATGTCAGTTCTGTGTCTGAATCCAGTTCCCAGAGCCCATAAACAACAAGAGGTGTGATTAGCATCAATAGGGTACTCAAATACATGAACCCAATCCATGCCAAGAATCCAGAGAAATCTCAAATTGCCAATGGACATATTTATACAGCTGGTGGGGAGATCATTAGAGCAGCATTGAGGAACATAAGAACGTATCTTATCACTAGTGAAAATGACCACCTCCGTCACCTCATTTTTCCTTATGAAGGAGGACTTTTCCTGCAAATACACAAGAGAGCAAAGAGATCTTAGTCCGATTTATCGCAGCTGGTGTTGAACTCTGGCTCAATGATCAGTGTGAGACCTTGATTCATTGGATACCCAACGCTGAATACAGCATAAATGTATCCAGAGTGTTTTTTTGCTCAGAGATCAGTTACTCAATGTGGCCTTAAGTATAAGGGATGGTGCCAGGCAATTTAAGACTGTTGATGGAACTTTGGTGTGCACTCTGAAGCCATTTCTAATTCCTGATGGTTTTCAAGACAAATATTCCCTGAATTTTGCCTGTGGGCAGTACTTGGTGCGAAAAGGTCTCATGCGTGAAATGCAGACATGCACACAAACAGGGAGCTGTCACTTTGTCAGAAAGTGGATGGTAATTGAATCAAATTTATTTGGATCGCCGCTCTGATATGCATCCAAACAGTCTTGTAAGGACCTAAATGGAAGCAGCGTGCGGCAATCAGAATGTATTAAAGCCTGAACGACCGAGACTTAGGAGAGAGACGCAACTGACCCTCGTGGAGTTCTTGAAAAGAAACGTGCAGGAAAACTGTAAGCTTGGAAGATGAAGCCTGTATTTAAGTACCTGTCAAATTCTGGAACCTCTGAAGCGTTACATAAATAAAGTAAATCAACAACCACAACAACTTGCATTTATATAGTGCTCTTCAGGCCGGGTAGCGTCCTGGAGCGCTTGATCCAGATCCACTTGGGATTCCTGCCCCATGAGGTAAACCTTGGGCTTTGTCAGAACGTTTTTTACCTTGTGTTATCTGTGACGCCAAACACTTTGCTCCATTATTTCCAACATAATGGTAAGTGGGTTTCACTTGTACACACGTATTCGGTTACAATCCATTGAATCATTTCTGTTATAATGTGTACAAGCCATCTCTCTCCTGGTCTTCCTTTGTTTGGAAGTCAGGGTGGTGGGGGGTGTGAGGGGAGGTGACTGAACTGTACAGGTGAGGGGGCTGGTCCAGGAATGACAATGTGGCGTGGCGGGGGGGAGGTGAGTGGTGGTGGGGGAGGGGGAGGTAAAGCACTGATGGAACAAACTGTCAGGACCCATAATGTACAATGAGCTCAAGCATTGAGAAAAGGAGAGGCAGGCTCCTGATTCAATGGGCAGGAGAGAAATATGGGCTTGGAACTGAGGCAGGAGGGAGATAAAATAACTGAGCTACTCACAAACCTGCGACGAAACAAAGGGCAAGCGAGCCGAGCAAAACAGCATTTTCTCATTCCAGCATTCCTATGTCCTTCTGTAGCTCGTATATAATTATGTAAAGAATACCAGTGTCTCGCTGTAACACAAGGAGGCTGACAGAGTCATTAACCACAAGAGCTCTAGCGTTGTGGAACAGTTTCAGCACACTTCCAGCCTGCCCTTGATTTTTATATCTGATTGTTCGGCTATTGTGTGGGTGGTCTCACTGCAGCTCTTGCTGGGAACAGGGTTCATCTGCTTCCCTGTCACCACATCTCGAGGTTTCACTCTGCAGAGCCAGCTCCCACACCCAGCTTTCGCTCCTCACGTTTTCCATCTTTCATTCGTGATGCTGGGTTCTGGCTTATTGTTTGATGTGGACATCCAGCTGTTCAGTGCAGATACCCCTCTGAGACACACGTATTGTATACACATGGGGCTGAGGTGACGTGTCTGGCAATGGAAGGTCGGAATCGAGTCAATCCTCTGTGGCGGTCTTGGGTTGTCCGGTTCCTGAGTCAAGCACTCAGGAGTTCTCTAAGGCACTGCTGATGACAGACCAGCCAGCCTGGCTCAACAGCAGCACTTGCTCCTGGGAGCAAGGATTTTTCCTGCTCCGCGCCTATTAACTTTGCAAACCAAACCCTTAACAGGTAGGAGGCATAGTCTTAGCTGGACAGGCAGTGAAAAGTTTACGTTAAAAGCTCTATGTAAATCTAACTGTAAATTATATTGCCTTTAAAATGTTTTTTGGAGACTCAAAATATCACTATTATTGAAATGAACATATAAAGTAAGCTTCAAGCGGAATCACTGTCCTTCAGTAAGAGGGTAAAATATGCCAAACTGACCAGGCGGAACGAGGGCAGATGTGGGCTAGTCCCCACCTGACCTGACCTGGTTTCTAAGCCAGAGATGTACACAGTCTGCCCTTGTTGTCTATCCAGAGCCAGTGAGATCCAAACTGCAACAAACTCAGGAGAACTGTAAATAAATAAAGCATTTTAGAAATAAACCATCCCCCACACAGACATGGCTTACTCACAATGAACCGAAAGCCAATTCCGCCCCCACCCCCCCCAAAGAGCCTCATCTCTGCCGGAGGACATCCCAAAGAATAGGCAGTCAATGTTGGCCCTCCCCTTGCTCGGGTCCAAATCCCTGACTGTGGAACGCCTTGGGAAGTCCTTCTGATGTGAAAGGTGCTGTACATATGTAATTTGTTGTTGCTGTTGTCTCAAAGGCTTCACAGAATATACTGTAAGGGAAATTGACTGTGTATTTTATCTCATTTCTTATTTGAGAAACAAGAATCTAAATTGCCCAAGGAGAAGGACGAAGGTTTTCTAATGGAGACATCGCTATTCGCTACAAAGCATTCCGGGACACTACTCTGTGTGAAGGGCGCTCAGTAAATCCAAGTTGTTGTTGACGTTGTTGTATTCTACTCTGTTGTCTGAGCAATGCAGGATGGGTACAATCATGGTTAGGGAGGGGGTGGGAATGATGGGAATGGGGG